AAAAATCATTGCCTTTGTTATCTCTCAGACCCCTCAATGTTCACTTTGGGACTAATGAATCCACCCCTTCTAACTCTTCTTGAACCGGCAGATCATCCCTGTTTTGCTAATGACAAAAAAGGGAAAAAAGTAAAAGTAACAATATAGTAATTTAGGAATTTGATTCTAATGATGCATAGTTATTTATGACATTCTACTATTTTGACTACTGATAGTTAGTGCTTGGATGTTGATGGCTTAGTCTTTGTTATCTTTGTTGGATTGTTAGTGACATTTGTTTTAGAATGGATATGGTATGTTGATGAAAATATGCTGATGATAGTTGGTTATAATATTGATAATATCCTGTCACTTATAACTTTAATTCTGCAAGCTTGTATGTCAATTCGTGAATATATTCTGTTAAATGTTTGAATCAATGCTTGTTATTTTCAAGAAAAAATAGATAGAAATTAGCTGGCCTATTAAGTTGGATAACAACATAGCTTGAAAAGATCATGCATATATTAAGGGGGAGCATACACTCAGGGAGAGAAATTCCTCATCTTGTGCAAAACAAAAAGAACGAATAGACACTGTGCTATTAATCAAGGAATATTTTGTCATCATAAAAAAGGGGGAGATTGTTGGCTCCATAAGTTTTTGATGATAATAAAACATTCTTGCTTATTAATATCTAACTATACTACTTAAGTGTGTAGATGAAAATGTATGTCAACAATAAATTAATCACTAAAAAGAAAATATCAAAACTCATAAGTGTAAGGAGTTATAAATAAGCCACAAACAAAAACTTTTTAGTCAGATAACCAAGGGAGTTAGTCAGCTAAAGCGCGAAAGTGAAATTGATTGCTTCAAAGACAGTAAGTTCTTAATCAATTAAAATCTTACTTAACCGATTAATGGAGTAAAGCAGATTACGAGACAGAGAAGACTTAATCGACTAAGAAGTTTGGTTAGTTAATTAAAAGCTCACGGTCAAAAATTTGATTACAAGACAGAGAAGACTTAGTCGATTACGAAGTATTGTTAGCCAGCTAAGAGCTCACTGCTAGAGAATTTGATTGCGAGACAAAGAAAACTTAATTAACTAAGTAGCATAGTTAGTCAACTAAGAGCACATTGTCTGAAAATTTAAATTTGAATACTTAAAGATAGACTAATGGCTAGAATTGACTCTAAATTGTTTTTAACAGTCTAAAGCTGCCAACATCTTTCAGAGTTGGTTTTTCAAGTATGAAAGACATCTTTAACGGTTAAGAAGAAGAAAAGATGCTTTCAAGATAAAAAAGAGCTCAAAAATAGCAAAAACTCTCTCCATCCTTTATGCACGTCACTCTAATATTTGTAATAGAGTTTAGCACTTCATCTTGTACCATTCAGATTAGGTTAGTGATCATAGACACTTCTTTATCTCTATATTTCTTAGTTACTTAGAGTGTACGAGTCACTCTAAGGGGATTAATTAAGCTTGGGTTAGCTTGATTTGTTTTATAGGTTCTAACTCAGC